GTGGATTCTCAATACAAATTATTAAATAAAGATAAAGGCAAAACCTCACCTTAAAAAAAAAAAAAAAAAAAAAAAATACCATATAAGATGCGGCATGATGGTCCCGTATCGTGAAATCTATATACCTTCCTTGAAGCTGTTCAATATCTACTGAATAAATCACTGGTAATAATTCTGAAGGAAAGTATTGATCGTTTACAAGTTCAAACGACTAAATAGAATGAAAAATTAAATACTATAATTGAAGTAAATATTAATGAAAAAATTTTCCTAACTTGCCTTATTAACGCTTGATTAATACATTGTCGACATATCTTTATTTTCAACTCAATAATAAGCACCAGATCACTGAAAAAATTCTTACAAAATTGGCATCTAGTAATAATAAACTTTAGAAAACAATAGTCTTGTTCTGATAATTGAATTGGACATTTAAAATTTTGGTGAAAATATAGTTGTCGTGAAACTCTCCAGATACTTTGAGAATCATCGTCATTCGACTTAAGTAAATAGTACAAATATTTCTGAACTTGCATGAAATAGAAAAGATCCTTTGGTGATAGATATGATATAATTGCTAATAAAACATCAGTATTATCTAGAATATTATTCCAGGTCTTCTTTGTTTCAACTTCTTGCATATCCACGTCAAAAATTTCAAGCACTTCCAAACTCGATTCTATTTCAATTTCAAAAAAAATTAATATTATGAATATAAAATTACATATTATTCCAAAATTTACTTCACCTGGTTCAGGACTTTGTGCATTCCATAATGATTTTTTCATCTCAACTTGTATATGTCGAAGCAATTCCTCTGTTTTTGGATCCTTGAATTGTTTCATAATATCTTTTACGATTCTTAAAGATACAGTAAGAATGTCTTTTTCTTTTCGCAGATTTTCGATTTCTTTATTTAAAATTTCGATCCTATTGAGTATTGCGTCTTTTTCGAGTTTAGAATCTTTAAATTTTTTTCTGGCTTTACGTTCGAGATATTTCACATGATTGCTTAGGAATTCGATGGTGGCCCTTTCAGAATTAAGTCCGTCACTTCGAAGAAATTTTCTTACTTTCGATTCTCGAGGCATAATTGTCAATTGTTGTCTATTTGGATAAAAATTATCCTTTAAATAGGTGCAATTGTTATGCAATTGCATTTTATAAATGCATATACAGTAGAAAGTAATTTCATGTGATGCTATATATAAAGCACAAATAAATATCCGATTTTTTTACTGATATAACTAAAGTGATGAACCTGTTGTTATTGGTTTATTTGTGACTTTTTTAGCATACATAATATATAAATCAGTAAATATATTTTACTTTAAAACGGAAAATTAAAATTCATGCAAATAGACTCGACTTAAAACTGGTTTTTAATATTGTAATATATAAAAAACTGGCATTGGACATAACGCCCTTATATCATTAAATTTGTATGCTGCATATATATTTATTTCATATATATTGCTGTAAACTAATATTCTTTATATTTTATATATTATATATATTTTTAGATCTAATATTGCTAAATAATAAGTTAACTCGATAATTGAGTCATTATTTGTGGATTACTTTAAAACCGGAATTAGAATAGTAGTTTTTATATTAGAACATTATTGCCAAATTTGGCTTAAATGCATAAAGGATGATATTTTTTATACAGTCAGAATTATGATAACAACCAGTTCATATTATACAAAAATTCACTTGATTTCGAAATTGTATAATTCAAGAGATAATCTCTTAGTCAATTGCTATGACTCTTATTGACAGTTCGAATTTTCAGTCTTTTTTTAGACTATCAAATCCACATGATTATAAATGCATATCAGACAACATAATCAGTATCAGATATGATTGTGATTAGACTTTATACATGTGATGCTGAAGGGCCGAAAAGTTTATCTTACATGAGATTCCATCAAACCAATTGATTGGCCGTTATACATCTATTGAAGTTTGTGCATTACCTTGACTGGTCTTGTCAGAACAATTACATTTGGTATTTAGAATTTTCTTATAATAAATCTTTAATTTTGAAAGAAAAAAATTTATAACGTGATTGAAAATAATATATGCTTGAAAATGAGTTTTAATAAATACCAATTTACTAAATCTATTTTGCATTTTTCAGAATTAACCACAACATGCAATTATTATTAAACTAATATTTATATTATTATTGTCTGAAGTGTAACTTAGGTTGTTATACTCATTTGGATCTGAACAATCACGAGATGCACGTCTGTTACGCCACGTAATTAGCCAATCACAGGTAAAAATTCATACCATATACGCGGCATTCTTGAAATAGAAATAAATATACGTATATATATCGATAAAGTAAATTTTAGTAATGCATAAGTAATGTATATAATCCGGTTTTCATTCTTGAAATCGAAATATTTTAAAAACCAGTTTTATAACTATTAAATATCGATGAAAATCATGTAATTTCTATAATTTTGCATTACATAAACCTGAATTGAACTTA